CTCAAATAAATATTACTAAACAATGCAGTACATTTACTTTCATCTATAAATCTTACTAAAATTTAAAAACGAATGCTTTTAAAATAAGAAATAATAAGAGAAAGTGACAAAGTTATTTTATTTCATAAAGTATCAAGATCTGGTTAATTAGTTAATATAGCAATTGATTCAAAGTAAGAATTGGTTGAATTGAACCATGAAATTAATCCTTCTTAAGAAATGCTATCAAATCAAAAATAATAAAATAAAAAAAAAAAAAAGTGAAAACTAAAGATGATGTAAATATATTTAGTCCATATTGTGAGTATAACTATAGTAGATGAAATTTAAATTGAAATAGTTTGAAAATTAAACTTTATCTTCAATAAGCACAATCGGTCATTTGGTCAGTCTCTTCGTCACAGCAACAATTTTTACAATATGATAATATTGTAGTAAAAGCAAATTAAGCTAAGAGATGCGATCAAAATAGAATGTCTTATTTACATAAGAAAATTATGTTTGTGATATAATAGCAGCGACAGCAGCCTATGATGATTTATGTCTTGGCTTGGTCTACTTTTTGCACTCTTTATAGTTTCTCGTTTAAATTGAAAACAAGAAGAGAAAAGTTATTTGCATAAAATTAACAGCTTCTGCTAGATATGCTGTAAAAAGCTGAAAATTTGGCAGTGAAATTGAAAATAGTTACATCTTCAATCTATTAGATACTATCCATTGGGACATTACTCCTTTTTTTTTTTATTATCCTTTTTCCTTTCTTTTCTTTTTTAATGACTTTCGAAAATTTAAAAGTTATCTTTCTTTTTGTTAGTTAAAGTTACAATTTTGTGAAATGATAGAAAGAAAGGAAGAAAGGAAAGAAGAAAGGAAATTCTTTCGCTTTTCTTTATGCATCGTTTAAAATTGTATAATTTTGCTTCATAAAATGTTTAATACTATGTAATTTTAGTTTTTCTCTACTTTTTCTCAAATTTTTCTAAATTATAACTTTAACTAAGTGATATATTTTATTTTGTTTACTTTGTTCCGTAAATATCTTAAATGAAAATAAACAACGAATTTTTTTTTTTTTTTGTGTTTATTAGTTTAATGCAAAATAAACTAATGTAATTTTGGAATTATTCAAAATTCTTTGAGCTTCATTTAACAATTATATCAGCTAAGCATTATATCGAATCCAGCAAATTGTATTCATTTTCTGGCATCGTTTATATTTTTTCATGATATGATATGATGGATTGAGATAATTTAATCATATTTTTATACTTTTTTTTTGAGGAGAACTTTGATAGATGATCCTAGGACAGTAGCAGGTGCTAATCCTCAATCTAAAACAAATAAAAAAGTCGGGGAAGCTAGTTACAGTTCAATATAAGAAGTAAACAAAGTGGTAAGTAAGTAAATAAACTAATAAGCAATGCTAATGATGGATACAGTATAGAGACGAGCCAACAAATAAATCAACAGATGAATGTATCAGTAAATATTTTCGAGAAGTGAAAATACTGTCATTCAAAAATCTCTAAATTATTATCGTATCTAAAATTATTTAAAATTAAAATGTATAATCAATTTTTCTTCCAATCTAAACTTTTAATGGAATTCAATTTTACTAAAATTTGATATTTTGCTTTTTCTTCTCTATTTAAAGTATTATATTTTTTAACGCATAAAACTATAAGAAATGAGAAAATGAAATTTTCACTCATTTATTATTTTATTTCGTTAAGAAAATGAAAAAATAACTGTTTCATTTTTTTAATTGGAAATAAATTTAACTGAAAAGTATGTTAAACAATCTGAAATATCCTTTACGGACACCAATTTTTTTTTTCTTTTCCAACGAAGAAACTATTTTAAATTTAATTTTAATTGTTTTTATTTTCTAAAATCTTTACTGAGCTGAAAAATATTTTCTACTTTCAAACAAAATTTTATAAATTCAAATTAGCTTTTCTTCTTTCGCAGCACATTTTATTATTTAACTTAAATTATTTACAATTATATCACACAGTTCGTTATAAAACCTGAAAAATATATTTATTCAACGACAATAACACAAACATAAAATTTATAAATTAGTTAAAATTTAGGCGAAATTTAATTTAAAACCATACACACATACACAAACATGCACACATAATATTTGTGAGGGAAGAATGCAAGCAAATGCGCGAAAATCTTAAGAGTAGAGCAATTGTAAAGTAAACATAAAAGGTCATCCCATCAACGTTGGCGGTAAGTACAAAGCATGAAGAGGAGTGAAGAGCATCAGTCTATACCTGTGACACTTTCAGGTAATTGATGTATGTTTTTAGGGGCTACCTGACTTCTTCCCTGTTTGGTTCATTAGAAACAGTTCTAAACTTCTTCCTCGCTCATCCTTCTCTCTTCCTCCTTTCATGTATTCACTTCAAAGGTAAAAGCAGCTAAGGATATGTGGACAGAAGATGAAAAGTGATGAATTTAATGAGTGGACATTGGATGAATGTTGTGTTATCATAATGACTCATAACGGACATACTTTTCCATTCCATCAAATGTCACATAATGCAATTTCCGCCATATTTATATGCTCATTTCATAATTTTGATTTTGGTATGACAGCTAATATTGATTGCTATTATATTCAGTAAAACTGAATGAAAGAGATTAAACTGAGTTTGGATTAGTTTGGAGACAAGCAGATAGGAAGATAATGAAAGTTACTAATGACGAGAGACACAGTTAGGGTTGGGTGACAATTCTGATGCAACGATGTTGACAAGTGAGGATGGTTTGCAGTGATGCGAGCTTGTGGCAGAGATAAGTAAGTAATGAATGTCTCAGAGTAATAACTTTGTGCATCAACTGCTAATCACTCATCATAAACTTCGATAATAAACGACAAATTTTTCATTGGCTAATTAGCTTTTCATATTGTCTTCCAAAGATTTAAAAAAAAAAAAAAAAAGATGAAAATCAGTGATTTTAGCTTTCGTTCAATTCTATTTGACCATAAACATTCGCATAAATTTATTCACTGACTTAAAATTTAAACTTTTCAATATAAAATTTTATATAATTTGAAGAAATTAAACGATGAAATAAATGTTGTAAACAAGGAATAAATTTGAAAGATGAAGAATTATTTGAAGAAGAATGAAAACGATTTATTTAAATTTGAAAAATCTTTTCTTGTTTAATTTTTCTTATTAAGACTAATAGACAGCACAATGCTCAACTTCACTTTACTTCCATACAAATTTGTCACTGTCCTCTATTCTTCCCTTTTCATCAAACTTTCTCATAAATTTAATTCACTTCACTATAAAATTTTCAATCTTATTTTCGTAATTTTAGAAATTGGCAGATGAATGTTTTCTTTGAATTAATGCGAAATAGAGGAAAATTTGAAGATGAATTCAGTAACTGATTGAAAGAACTAAAAAAACTTTGCCTTCTTACCATTTCCTTTCCTAACCACTCATTATGATAGGATTTGACTTTTCCTGATGAAATAAATTGCAAGAATAAAAATAAAGTTATAAAGTAATGATATTATTATTATTGTCACTGAGCATTAAAATGGATTTAGTCTGACTGTAAAATTGTAGGAAATTAATTTGAACTGATATAAGCAATCAGTTCGTTTGAAAAAAAAAGAATTAATTTGAAGCATCAAAATTGTTTGATTAATTTATTGTTGTAAATAAAAGTAATGAAAATTCAAAAAAAAAAATTATTGATATTGGAGAAAAGATGCAATTCTATTGATAATAATATCTCAGTCCTAGCCAGTAATCACAACATATCATCATTGTTAGCCTAATCAAAAAATATGAGCCAGATATTCCAGTGGGATTTGAAAAGAAAAATTCTGATGTAAAAAATTCTTTAACCATTTGCTGTCAAAAAAAAATTCCTTCTTTTTGTGATCCCAGTTATTCTTCTGCCTTTCTGTATTTTTTCTTTTCTTGAAAAAGAAATCTTGAATATCTCTTCTGGGACACTATTTGATTCGTTCACTTGATTGAAAAGAGAGTTACAACTTTTGAATTCTCTTTTTTACTGTTTATTTAGGATAGAAGAAGAAATTTGATGATATCATTGATAAACAATAAGAGTTTAAGTATTTCTTTTTTCAAATAGCATTTTTTTTTTTTTTTTTTGATTGGAAAATAAAAAAATCAACTTGAAGTAGTACGATGGAAGAAGTGAAGAAACTAAAATGTCTAACTCAACACAATCAATCAATTCTACCTTTATTGTTTTTTCATCTCAGAAGATCTCATATATGCTACTATTATTATTACAAGATGACAATAATGAAGTACTGAAGAGGTACAGGTAATGATGCCTTCTACATTCCTAGGTACTAGGCTCAGTTCTGAAATGAGAGGAATTGAAGTATTATTTTTGGAGTATATGGATGGGAAGCAAGGATGTTCATCTCGTTGTTTTCGTTTTATGAATTAATATGAGACAGAAGAGAACAGAGACAAGTTTGAATCGTTTGGGTAATAAGATTAGTTGGGATGTTTTCAGAGCTTATTACATTAATTCCATCTAGTTCAGCAATCTATCAATTCAAAAAATCCATAACCCATGTTTATTTGTTTCATTCAACCGGAATTAATTCCTTCTCTCTCTCTCTCTTTTTTTTTTTTTTTTTCGATTTTCGTTTTCTTTTTCATTTATTGCAATTAATCACATAATAATGACATGACATCAATCAGAATGCATTACAATGCTTTGTTTCGTTTTTATTTCGGTTCAATTCGATTCGGTTCGGTTCATTCGGTTCGGTTTAGTTTAATCTATAGGGAATAGATTACCAAAATTCTACCTCTGAATCAGAGTATGAGTCATGCTAGAAATTAAGACGACCAGATTGTTTGTAATTATGGAATAATTCATATTACACTTATATGCCACTCAAATGATTCGTTAGCTTAATGATTGACTATAGTATTTACTCACCTGTGCTAAAATAACGATTGTAAATTGATCCTTGGCTATCTGTTACAGTACCAATAGAAATTAGCAATCGACTCGGCTCGGCATGGCTTGGCTAAATGAAAGTTTTCGTCTTTCTGAAACAATAATTTATTTATTAGAAATAAAAATTGTTTACAAATATTACTGCATAAATAATTTTACAATGCACAAGCAAAAGTTATAAATTACAGTTTATAATTAACACTTATAATGCATGTAAAAAAGATTTTTTATATATTTTATTGTAATATATAACATTATGTTTACTTATTTATGTTTTAAATAAATAGAATAATCACTTCACTTTCAAATCTTTAACTCAAAGCTTAAGCTTACCTTTGAATAATCAAAAACAATTCAGTAAGTTAAACAGGAGATTACATTTTAAATATTTATTATTATATTTCATCAAATTAATATGTGATTTCAAATAAAATTCACTTTGAAATTCCTCTCCATCCTCTCTAACAATTTTCTAATTTAAATTGTAGTTCTGAGCAAACTATTTGTTAACTTCCATTAGTATCTTTATTTCCACATTTTTTATTATTTTAATCGAAATTAACAATTTTGTTTACTTTTTTTTTTTAGCAATTAACAATGTTTTAATTTGCATAAAATGCCAAAATTAGAATATATGCAAATTTCATTCAATCTATTAGCGCTATTTGATATTCATAACTGTTTGCTTTTCACCCATAACGCTTATATATTTGCAATTGTAATAACTCTAAGAGATTAAAACAGTCAGAAATTCAGGAAATTTATGATTTTAATTCATAAATGACAAAATAAAGAAAAAGAAAATACGACGACTCAATCAATAATATCAGAAGTTTCCAACTTTGATCATATCACTACTACTTCTCTTCCATTTGACACATTTGTATTTATCATTGATAAGTCTCTCGCATTATGCAAATTTTGTGATAACTTTTTATTGCCATAAACTTTACATCTTTTATATTTATTTTTATCTCATTCAATGTTATTTGTTACTAACATGCAATCATTGTATGTAACTCTAAGATTGGGTAAGAAGTGCTTGCGATTTACGTAAATTTAATGCGATTAACCTAAAAGGAAACGCAATAAAGTCAAATTTAATTTTGATCCATTTCATGTATAAATACTTTAAATGAATTGTTATGATTAAGAATGCTTAAGTTTAATGAAAAATTCATCTTACTGAGTATATTTGTCTCCAATTAATATAAATTTCTAAATTGTATTTCTAATTGATCAACCATTGTACATTTTTATTACACATAAATGATCCCAAATAACCGTGAAATTTTCATCTAATATCTCTCATTTTAGTGCACAGCATATTTCACGTAAGTGTACGCAAGTTGCGTGAAGCTTTTCAAAGAGCAGAAGAGTCTGTGATACATATGTTGATTAATCATAATGGATAATTAATTAATTACAGGTAGCAAAGAAAAGAAGAAGGACTCGTTTATTTATTACCTGCAAGATGTTAAATACAGTATAACTCACATCACTTTTGTCACTTTAATATTTCTTCTCGTAGAATTTTATGTGACAATGTATTTTTGTTTATTAATTATTGTTACATTCTATAATTTTGAATTTGTCTCTAAACTGTAATCATTGTAAATAACTGATTAAAATAACAGTTAATTTCGAATCATTTCAATGCACTATAATTCGTACTGATAATTTATACTAATTTATCAGAAATATTTCAATTCAATAAAAGATGTATGAGTGGAATTATCAATGTGATTATCAATTATCAGCGCTTCATCTGTTATTACTATAGAAAAAATCCAACACTCAATCACACTATAATTGTTAGTTTCTTAAAACAATCATAGAAAAAAAGAATAAAGTGTAACATTCATGCATGAATTATTTGAATTGAACTTCAAAAATTTAAGCTTCAAATTTGAATTCAATTTCAATTGCAGTAATTACACCAATCATGACAACTAGCATCGAAAATTATATGCTATAAGTTTGATTTGATTGCAATTCTTCAAAAGAAAAAATTGAATCTTAAAAATTCTTCAAATTGAATATTAATAAATTCTGTTTGGTTTTTTTTTTTTTTTTTTTAAATATTTTTTGTGCTACATACAGATTATTTTAAAATTTCTATTCAATTTGATTTTTTTTTTTTTTTTGGATGAGTCATATTTTTCTGTATTTCTTTGATGTTTTGAGTGATTTATATTTGTCTTTTGCAAATTGTAAAATTGTTGCAATAACGAAATGCAATAGCAACGATAACAAAGTTGTAAATTGGACTTATGATGTGATTTTCTTTCAAACTCTGCCAACTTTACACCAACTGCAATGCCAGATGGATAGTTTCCAGAAAGAAATAAACTAATTTTAATCTGTTAGACTCTTTCATTTGCAGACCAATTAAGGCCTCCTGAAATTATTATCACTGCGGTACATCTGGCGCATCAGTTTCTGATGAGATTTCAATGGAATGCTTAAAGCATTTAGTCATCTTTCAATACACTAATAAAAATGATATTTCAAAGATTACACAATGATTCAGGGGTCAAAGTGGTAAACAGAGGTCAAACAATTGCAGGGTTAGAAGTATTTGTTCAAAAATTTTATATCAAAACTATACCAAAACATTTTATAGTAATGTAAAATTTGTCTTTATGCTGAGGAAATGTTATGAGTGATTATTGAAAAAAAATAAATAAATAAATGCAAGAAATCAGTTGTATTCATAATAAATCAGTTGTATTCATAATTTGGTTCCAATTATCTTTAATGTGTTTCTTTCATGTTGAGCAATGAGAGAACACTAAGGATTATTTTGATAAAAAATTAAAAAGTTTTAAATTTTATAACGAAATGATCTCTAGAAGATAATTTGATTGATATTTTTTTTTTTTTTTTTTTTGAAATTGTTATTAAATCAGTAAGTAATATTTCAATTTTTTTTCTTTCTTTTCGCTCTTTTGCAGTATAAAAATTCTCAAAATAATAAAAAATTTTTATTTATTTATTTATTTAAAAGTCAATAATAGTTTTGAAAATTATATTAAAAGGAAAAGAGAATTTCTCAATTTAATTCTTCCAATTTATTTAAAATAATAAATTAGCAATATATTGCTGAAAGAAAAAATGCATTTTACATTTATTCATCATAAAATAAACATTTGTTTGTTATTGAAACTAAATAAGTGCCAGGTTTTAAAAATTTTATTTGAAAGCTTTTTTCCTAAGTTTGAATTTACACAAATGCTTATTGACATAAGCAAGAAATTGATTTTGTTTTTTATGAAAAAGAACTTTTCTTTCTGTTTTTCTCCTTTCCTTTTCTCACTTTTAAAATTCATTTCATTTTTCAATTACTTTTTTCTCTCTGTAAGACTAAAATGGACATCGAAGTTTATCGTCACCATTCGATTGTCAACGCCAGTATTCCCGTGGTCCAATCATCTCCCTCCACAACAATCACTTTCATCCTACTATCATCCATTGTTGTCTTTTCGTATGTAAAACTTAAGAAAGAACATTGGGAAATGTAAATTTAGAAATTACTTCAGATGGGATTAGACTAAAAAGCATTAAATAGCTTACTGTGCACACATCTGGCTCTATCATTGCTTTTCATTTTACATTAAAATGCCAACAAATTGATCAGAGACATAAAATTCCCACAAATTCAACGTTAAGTCAAATATTTTATGGATATTTTAGTGAATATATAATTTAGTAATTCCTTTGTCATTTCATAAATGAACGGATTCGAGAATAAATTCGAGAATAAACTACAAAAAGAAATTATCTACCACACACTTTTGCCATATTATTGATTGATTTATCATAATGAAAACATTTGACACTGTCATATCAATCAATAATTTCAATTTTGTATTTATGCAAATTAGAAAAGAATTTGTTGGAACTTTTTATTAAGCAATTAACAATATAGCATACAATAAACGAGACACTATAAAAATTTTATTATTCTCTTCGTTACAGTGTCATTAAACCGGTCGTTCGGTCAGTTCAAAGAGTAAATTTTGTGACAGTTGCTCATATCTACTGATGCGAGAATTTGCATATTTCAAATTATATTAAAATGCATATCAAGATCGAGTTAATGGCACTTTGGTATGGTATCAACTGGAACAAGCAGAAGAGAGATATCGAATTTTATTTTGGAGTGTATTTTAACCCAATTCCAGAAATATATTTAGACAAGTTCAGGCTTACTTTTAGTTGGAAAGATTGCTATTTATGTAGTTCTCGGCGAGCAAATCCAATATCACATCAAAATTAAAATTTCCAACTTTTGTTTTCGAAACGATTGTTTCCCACCAATACTTCCGATGGTATTGGTAATGGTAGAGAAATTATTATTTCTACAAGAGTTAAATTATGTTTCGCAAATTTCTTTGAATCACTAAAAATCTTTCTCTTACAGTTACTGTAAAAGAAAGAAGTAAGATTGAGATAGCAATGTGCAACCATTGTTTCTCTTTAAAATCATTTCTTTAACCATTAAAAAGATTATTGAATTATAAAATCAAGTTGGACAAATAATAAAAAGAATATATTTGAACATTTAGTATGAGTTTGATAGTTACTATTTAGTAATTTTGAGATTTTATGGTATAAGCAAACAAAAAGGAAAATATCATCTTTATCAAATATTTCAGAGAAGACTTTAAACTTTGTGATAATATTATCACTGTTAATAATTTATTGATCTGCTGCTTATCGATCTTCTCTCTCTCGGTCTTTAAATTCTAACTGAACTTTTGGATTTTTTTTTTTTTTTTTTGGATTGAATTTTAAATTTCTAACAGATTGAAATATGTTTCATTGTAAGACATAACAATACAACATGCATTGCTAACAAACTTAATGTGCACTTTAACGAAGACTTTGAAAATAATAAGTTAAGATGACTAGCTGCTAAGGGAATAGAAGTTCACTATCACAGTACTGCACTAAATTCATCGAATCAAAAATCTTATTTTAACGAATCTTTAAAAAAATATGCTTCTCGAGATTGCATAAATCCTATTCAAAAGTTATTTAGCCTGGAGGAAACTTTTGGGCAATGCATAATATAATGTTTACAAGTTCTTAAAGATTCACCTAATTAATTAATGAATAGCAGTAAAGGTTAGAACACTCAAAAAAAAAAAAAAAAATGCATTTCAAATATAAAAATGCAATATAGAATTAAATTGGCATTGGTATGAATAATTATTATCAAATTTAAAAATGAAATTCAGAAATGGAAATGATAAAAGCAACATTTTAAGGAAATTTTTTGTAGTAGCCAAAATTCACCGCGTTTTGATAATCAAATATCTATGAGAAGTGAGATTTTTAAAGAAAGAAAGAAATTAATCATCGCTTCAATCTTAATTAATGAGTAAAATGTCTGATTCACAAAATATGCCATTAACTAATCGCTGCCAATCAAAATTTCCATCTCTGTTACCTTTTACTTTGCAGAATTTTAAGATGTGACAACCATTTGAGCTCAAATATGATACAAATACAAATGTCAAAGTTCATTTAAAAAGTTAAAAAGATTATTAGCAATTATGTTTAAATTAGCCAGCTAATTAGCATGTTGCTTTTTTGAATTGTAAAATTGATTTTCTCAATTACAAGAAATGCAAATATATTCAATCAAACATATTTATGCTAGATTTTGAATATGAAATCTGTCAAAAGCTGCGCATTCTTTTGGACCAAATTATTTAAAATGTTGATTTAAGTAAGTAAATAACGGTAACAAGGTTACCTAGTTATGGAAATAGCATGGAAGATCAGTAAACAAAACAAAAATGTGGAAAATGAGTAATTAAAGTTTCTAGATGAAGCAGCTCGTCTATAAGCACTAGCTTCTGCATCAAACGTTGACAATTCATAATCTTTGGTCCTCAGCTTACCTGCAAATGAATAATTAAAATTAAGTGGCAAAAAAAAGTTAATGAAACTGTAAGATAATAAGAATTACCTCAAATGAAGAATTTGATTTCTCATTAAGAAATGAATTTAGTATTTTATTTCCTCTTTTTTTGCTTTTGTTTATGCATAGTTTTTCTGTTCATCAATCTTCTACAACTAATTGAATTTAAATTTTAGCTGTCCAACTTTACTAAGTTCAGCTGTCATTTTTCAGTGTCATTTATCTTATATTTAAAACAAAAAAAAAAATGACAGTTATTTACTTCTAAAAAAAATAAGTTTTCAACCAAAATGTATTGTTTTATTTCATTGCAAGCACTAGCAAAATCTGAAAAATTTTTTTCTTTCTAAATAACTCTCAAAGAGTTTCCATTAAAATAGTAAGAAATTGGTTAGTTTTCAAATTTTTTAATGCAAATTTCAGGAGAAATATTACGATTTTGGTTTCGAATTTTGAAAGTTAAAACATAAAGTTAGAAAAATGAATGAAATTACTCACCGAAATAACATTTTTCAATAGACATATCACCAATTAACCTTCCCATTGTCGTATATCCGGTCACTAAAGGTTCCTCAATTATGCATAACTTTCCGTAATCAGTATCCTGCTTCAGGAATGGGAAAAAAACGTCCAAATCGGTAGATTCACGGAAAACGAATGTCTGTGATGCTGGATGTGCCATTGTAGCACTATGCAACGTTGCAGTTAGCCTTAATTTGTTATTTTATAGTTCAAATATTATCAAATCAAAAATAAATAATAAATAAAAAATAAACAAAAGATGAAAATAAGTCAAAACTTTAATGAAGTGAAACTGAGAGAAAATTACTGCAAAATGTGGTAATCTATCAATGAATTGATGAAAAGAGTAATATAATTAAGCAGAATTGTAGTGGTAATGTATGTCTCTCTGTATGTGTGTGTGTATGTATGTGTGTTTATGTATGTGTGTGTATGTGTATGTGTGTGTATGTGTGTGTGTATGTGTATGTGTGTGTATGTGTATGTGTGTGTGTGTATGTGTATGTGTGTATGTGTTTATGCTTAACTGAAAATTGTTTTAATAAATACAACAAATAGAGTAGAACTGATGAAGGTAATGGCAGCAAAGATTTTAAAAGTAAATTTCATTTCAATTTCTGTTAGATACTTTCATCCTTTTAATGATTATTCAACGAAATGCTTCTTTCAAAGTTATAAATTGGTGACATTACAGGTTAGGTAAGTAATTGATACTCATTACAGGTTAGGTAAGTAATTGATACTAATCAGATAGATTGGGAAAAGTAACAAAATATTAAGAATACTTTAACTAACTCTAAAGAGACTCCTATCTATTGTAAATTTTATTAAAATAAAATGAATGTATCATTTTCAAATAGAAATTTCAATATTTCATAAATGAATTTACAGTAAGAAATTATTTGTCACTGATGTCGTATTTATTATTGATGAAAAATTGAAATCGGTTTTTATTCTTTATTTTGCTCTTTCCTTAATTTTCAAGAAATTATCCAATTCTCTTCTCATTCCATTTTCAAATATTTGATTAAAATCATTTTCGCTACGCATTTTTGCTTATTAATTCAATTTTTTTCTTTTCTTCTTTGAAGCATTGCTATCCATTTTAACAAATTACAGTCGTAATTGTTAGTGGATGTCGTAAATCTGATGTGATAAGTAATTTGAGACATTTACAAATACAATTACTACCTTCTAAAATGATAAAATAGGATTAGAAATTGACAAATATAGAAATGAAATTTTTAAATGATTATAGCATGTCCATGTTTATCATTTAAATATAATGGTTGTGAATAGAAATTATCACCTTTCATGAAAATTATCACCTTTAACTATCTTTGAAAAATTGCTTTCATATATGTTTTACAAATGAAAAATTTACATTTTTTTTTTCGTATTTTTTTCTTTTTTTGAATAATTCTTTTATTGCAGTTTTTCTAACCATCAGAAAGTCTTAATTTGAAAAATAAAATTAAGGTTAGCATGATTACCTGATTGGAAATTCAACAATTGATCGTATCCGAAATTGCATTGCTGTGGATGAAATATCAATGATTTCAACGTCTGTAACACTTGTCTCAGCACTTTTCCCAGATCGATCAAGCGTACGTAATATTCGGCAATCAGTACCTGTGGATTCGTTGTGTCTATTGAAATTTTCCCATTCAACGCAAATATAGTACCATTGTCGTTCTCTTAAATCTGATATACTCACCTGAAATAGGTCAAATGTTTTGTTTTTTTTTTTTTTTTTTGAAAATTTTTTTCAAAAATTTCAAAAGTACACATTAAAGGTATGATACTGTTTGAACAAAACATGAAACCTGATCAGGTACTGGTATCATCTGGAAAACTTAATGAGTTCAGATCTCAAAATATTTGCTTTCCCATCTTCCTATCAACAATGAATCCTATAGACTAAGTCTTTATAGCCAGATTACTGTTAACTCCGAGTGATAACAACTTTGTGTCTGATAAAAATGAATTTTGATTTATAAAAATTTAGCTGTTTAAAGTAATTTTTAAAATTTATAAAATTGCTACTTTTTTTTTCCCACCGCTCATTTTCCATAAAATCAAGAAATATTTATTGCTCGCATAATCTTTATAGCAATGATACAGACAACGGATATTAATTATATTGACGTCTCCCATTTTACTATATAATTATCAGAACGGATCCGTAACTTCCTTGTAGCCATTATGATAATTATAGGCCGGCAATGCAGACTTTAATTTCCGGAACGGTCAATGCAATACTTAAAAGGATCATACCGCTGTGTGATAAAAAGAATCTTTTTTCGTCTTTTCTCTTTCTAATATTTCAATTTACACAAAAGAATGTCACAGAATTAATATTTCTTTTGAAAAGGTTAAATTTTTTTATTAATAGTAAAATTTATAAGTTTACCTGTTTATCATTCCGGATATTGTCTGGGTAGGATATTTTAATAGCAGCAGATTCATCACTTTTTAATGGTATTGCAGTTATGAAAAGTGTCGGAATTTGAATTGGTGCAAGATAGGAATCCAAGAATGAATCCAATAATACAATCCGGAAACCGTGCTTTGTAGCGTCAACAAAATTTATAGCTCTGTAAATTTTTATATTGGACGAAAAGATTTCAAAGAGTTGTAATTATTGAAGTATATTCAAATATTTTTAAAAATCAAAGAACTTGAAGCCAATTATATATCTTATATGCAAAGTGGTAAGTAACCCTTCCAAAGACATTACTTTTAAAATAATTCAAAAAGTTTTTTCATGGAATACATTTTTCGCATCAATGTAAAATTTTATTTCTATAAAATTTCACTTTAAAAATTTAGAATTATTTTGGCATAACCAATTTGTTTTGTATAGAATTCGGCACCAAAAATGGTTCATTTTAGTAAATCATTCTGTTAAAGTGGTCGGATGAATTTTCCTCTTCGAAATGCTTTTTTTTTAATTTTCAAACATAATAAAGTAAATAATGTAAAGTTTAATTCGATTAATTTAATTCAATTTTGATTTAGTTTAATTCATTTTCAATTCATCTTGTAAATTCTTCTTATTACTGATTCATTTTTTTTTTCACCTCAACTTTGAAGTATTTATTTATTTGTATAATTTTAATTGCATTTCTAACTTCAAGTGCATTTTTTTATTTATCAAATTTTTTTAATTGCACAAATTGAAGTTTTTTTTAAGTGACAAAGTATTTAAAATTTTGCATAGCAAAATTGTTGTGAAAATAATTAGTACTAACTTGGTATTGACGAAAAATCTTTGGTACTTTGGATTGCCGCGTGATGAAACCAAGATAATTGTAATGAAAACAAATGAAGCCGATATCAGATGGGTCATTGTTTATTGTTAGGATAAACAATAATCCTCTTTCGATGCTAACAAACAATATAAGTAGGGTAAGAAAGGACAACTGGGCGAGGTAGAAGTATCACCGGTAGTTTTGGCCACCAGAACCGATATTTCTGTCCAAGGGTGAAGTGAAGATTTATGAAGACAGGATGAAATGGATGGGTGAATGGATGGTTGGGTGTGGTTCGTTTTAACTGATAGTTGTCCAAATGTTTCGGAATTGTTACCGATTGATAGAGGAGGAATGGTCCAATAATAATAATACTTATCGGTCCCACTCTGATCACCGAGAATTTTAACTCTGAACTCAAATAACTGAAGTTAATTATTTGTTTGCATAAATGGGCGGAAAGGAGGAGCGGCTTTTCATTTGAAATATGCAAAGGCAATGGACAGTAATCAGAATGTGCTGGTCAAACTGATCGATTCCTGCAAATATTTAGTATAGTGATTCTGCCCAGAGCACATATGGAATTTGCATGCGATGATGATTAGACATTTGTGAGTTAGTTAATCCTAACCAATCAACGAGCCTCGGAGACAGTCATTATGAAAGAAAAAGGATTTATCATATCGATAAGTTAGTTAATCCCATTGGTTAGTAATGTCTAAACAAAATGCAACCATCACATGTAAACAAATGAAATGAGATTCATAGTGAAGCTATAAACAAATAAACAAATTTGCAAAGTGATAAAGAAATTCTAAAATTAAAAAGTATAAGGAGAAAAAAAGGCAAAGTAAAGCGAAAAGATGGCAATATTGAAGTTTATATTATAGGACTGATTATTTGGAGGGAAATAATAATAATAATAATGGTGATATTAATAATTATAATAATAATAATAACATTAACAATAGCAATAATAACATAATAATAATATAACATTAATAATAATAATAATGTTGATAATAATAATAAGAATAGTAATAGAATAGATTACCTGCATCCTTTAAGTGGAATTTGCAAGATTTTACAACTTTTGTTTTAAATCATGCAATAGATAGTGTTTGCATTAAACAACTAACTGAGGAATGAAATTTAAAATTAAAACGAGTGCAATTTTCAAAAATTACACTCTGAGCATTTAATCATTGCAAATTTAAGCACAAAAATTCTGTGCAAATAATAACATTTCAAAAGCTTTAATAATAATGTTAAATGGATGACAGATGTTGTCGAAAGATTAGACAATCGAGATTTACGACGCTATCAGCGAATGACAGATTATGACTTCCTATTGGCGATTACTATGAGAGATTGTTTGCGTAATTGTCTTTTGCAAGCTTTTTATTAGATTTGATTTGATCTTCATCGCTAAGGTTACATTTACATATACAAATGTTTGGCTTCATTAGGCTATTCTTCCAAGAATAAATAACGAAGCCTAGGACACAGAGTATAATAAATTGTTGCATCATTCCGTTTTCTGTGGTATTATAATCATTGCTATGAAAATTTCATGGAAAATATAGCAATATTCTTATTAAATAAAATTAACACAATTTGACAATGAATTTAAATGTGAAAAATATTTATCAAAATAACTTCAACAAATGTCTCAATCGAATTGATGTGATAAAAATGTGACAGTCTTATAAAATTTGATAAGCGCGACAAAAATTTTTTAACTTGAACCAGTAATTTGATTTAATTTCCTGTACTGCTATGAATCAGAAAAAGCAAAAAAAAAAAAAAGGAAAATTCATTCTTTATTTCAAATGAAATTATGCGAATAATTTGATATTGTAAGAAAGTATGACTTTCAGTTAAAAATTAATAAAATGTAATTCCACTATAATTTGATAAATTCATTTATTTATTGAGAAGTTTTCTCGGATAATTGATATAACTTACTTGAGCTAATGAAAAAAATAATAAATAACAGTAAATTTTAATTATAGTAAATAAATGTAACACTAATGTTTGCATGCATTTGCTCTAATGTTTACGATTGAAGTAATGAATTCATTTTTGTAGAGCTGTAGAATTCTCGAGAATGGCAGATGGAAGATAATTCTCAAGAATGGTAGGTATGAAAGGATCAAAGTATTGCTTCTTGTGTTTATTCTATAATATTACATTATTAATGTCAATATATTCAAATACTTCTTGTGTTTATTCTATAATATTACATTATTAATATCAATATATTCAAATAGTGAAAAGGAAATATTATGTAAGTTAACAAGTTTAAAGATTAACTTTTACTTTTTTTTTTCCTTGTCAACGACTCTTTGTTATTACTTTAATAAGTAAACAATACTTCTATTCTTGTTATTCATACGAATAATGTCACGTAAGAACAAAAATTAAAAGCAAAAGTGAAAAGAAATGATTCAGTGAGGCGTTCATTCAAGAAAAAACAAAAATGAAAGCTTATGGAAAGGATGTGAAAATGAATTATAAATAACAACCAGTTAAAAAGTGAGCTAAGAAGTGAACTAATTCAAATTTCTTCGTGCCCTAAATGCAAACAAAACGAAGAAATGTTTTTTTTTTTTTTTTGAAATGATTTATGAAATGACTTTGAGAGAAGGAACATGAATTTGAATGGAAGAAAAGCACTTTTCAAAATTTTCATTTTATTTTTAAATAGTATCGAGTTTACATAGTATAGAAATTTAACATAAAGAATGCTTTAATGTAAAAAATAATATTAGATTTAATTTTGTAACTTTCTTTTCACTTTGCTCAATTTAATTATTTCACGATTTTTTGTTATAATTATAAAATTTTGATTGCAGTATGCTTCTTCTATGATTTTATTCAAAATAAGATAATCATAAGAGTGTTGATATGCAAATGAAATGAAAAAAAAAAGCATTTTTATAGTGCTAAAAGCGGAATGCATGGCTATCTAATAATTAGGGCTTATAAGTCGATGTCGCATTTGTCACCACATTTTCCATGGAAAAGAAGAAAATAAAATTTCAAGAAAAGAAATTCTGAAAAAAAAAAAAAAAAATGGAAATGAATTAGTTTCATTTCTTTACTTGTTTCCCTTTTGAAGCTGTAATAATAATGAAAAATTAATTAGTAAAAATTTATAGTTGTGTGTCGGAGAAGACTCTTCCAAGAAGTAAAATTATCAAAGTTATAGAATTATAAGTGCATAGAATATTTCAATATATTAACATTCGACAACTTTAAACAGAGAAAAAAAATGAATTAATGATTTCGGTGACTGTTTACATACAAAATTTTGAGTAAACAACAAAAATTGACAATGCATTAATATATTTCGACATTTCATTTTCAATTTGTTGTAAGAAATTATTAGTAATAAAATTGAATTAACACATTGTATTGTATTTCCGATTATTTCTATCATCAATCAATAGCACTCTATTTGATTATTCTTTCGTTATTTATTCGTCTCAAAAATTAATAATCATTGAGAACTTCTTGAAGTGATACTTAGCATCAAGAAAAACGACATATGTAATTGATGACATGAATTTTTACGGGTAATTAATAATTACAAGTGGATGAACTTTGTGATAATAGCACCAACAAGGGACAAATGAATATGCTAACTGAAGAGAAGTAGAGATTGATGAAATTTTCGGAATAAAATTATTAAGGAATTAGGAAAAGAAGAAAATAATTGTAGGTCACAAGTATGATTGAGATTGAGAGTAATCTAACAAATATTCCCTATTACCATCATTTTCCTCTTATTATTATTATTATCATCATCATCATTATCATTATCGTTATTATTATGCCAATAGTTATTGCTCAAAAATTAATGAAATGTAGAAAATTATTGACTTCTACTTTATAATTATTAAATAATTAATAATAAAAAGTAACTTTCGTTTACTTTACCTAGAAACACTCTTTTTTATTAATTTCGAATGATAGAATCAATTTCTTTGTGCATAGAAAATTTTTGACAATTAAAATATAAATCTAACAGAATAATATGAATAGAGCATTTGATATCTCACAAATAAAATTTGAACAATCTTTGCAATTTTTAAAAATTAAATGGTTAAATAAATAAGTGAATACACTTAGTAATAATATTGAAAAATGTAAACCGTTGTTGGTATAATTCTTTTTACAATTAATCGGACAGCTCATTAAATGTCATTGCACCTTGTTGAACAGGTTCCTATAAAGGGTTTATTTGAAGGTAAGAAAATAACGAGTACTACATTCCAGGCTTTTTTTACAACTCTTTGAAAGTTTTAAATTCAGATAATGCAGTGTGATTCATATTTTTATTCTGTGAAGAATAGTTGTAATAATATTACAATAAATACATTCCAATATTATCATAATTCCCTATCTCATTATCAGTATAGATTATAATAATTCAAAGGTAATAGAAATCTGCACAATTTTAAAATTAAAATATTTACATAATAAATAAGAAAAAAACTTTGAAAAAACTTTATATTTCTGAAAATAATTCTTTGCTATAATTTAAAATAGCAATAGATTTTAATAAATATATAAAAGTATTGTTCGTGAAATTTAAATAAATTAACATTCTAATTGTTATAAGTACTAGATTTATAATTTTTTAGCAATATTTTGTGGTGAAAATAAAAAATTTTTGGTCAAATTTTTAAAAAAAGTTACAAAAATTTTTTGAGTAAATAAAAGACAATTTATTCAATATTCGATGATGTCAGATAAAGCAATAATCTTATTTTATATTATCAAATAATAATTCAACTTCGTAGAGTTTCTATCACTAAAAACTACACATTGCAAATTAAAATCAAATTAATCAAATTTTTTCAAAGCCATAAATGATATATGTCTTTTTACTAATATCTAATTAGTATAATTGCACTGAAACAGCAGCAAGATAAACTAATAGGTTATAATTGTTATTTAATTGCATATCAATTACTTCCTATTGATTTAAGTTATGGTAATATTATCACTTCAATCATAATATAATCATTTCAGATCAGATATAACTGCCATATTGAGCTTATCATTCATTACTATCACATTGTTTACCCTCTGATTATTTGAAGTAGTGAGCTACCGTAACACAGGTCACTTACATTAACTGAACTGAACTGAACTGAAGATGAATTAGTTGAAGATGAAAATTCTACATGAAGTGAGGAGCAGCTGCACAACATAAATGTTCAATTGATGGATGATGATGTATGCGAGATAGTTGAAAGTACAGAATAAATACATTGGACATTAAAGGTGAAGACAAAATAGTCTGAGTAACATTGATGGAGAAGAGCAGGTGTGGCCAAATGTTTGTAAAAGCCTAAATTGTTAGTTGCTTGGCTCACATTACAAACACAATAGAACAAAGCAATCTCCAAAAAGGATCTTACGATGAGGTTATAAATAAATTCGGTGCATCTCTTTTCATTGTAAACAATCATTTGGTAATATATATCCATGTCCAAGTAAACAAGCATATTTTATCGATTTATCAATGATCAATTTTATTGGAATTACTTTTAAAACATTTGAAATATAACATTGTTATATGGTTGAATTGTTTAAAATTACTTCCTGAAGCTTTTAAAACCTTATAATTTGAATTAAAGTATTTAATGCCAATCATTTTGTACATTAATCTAACAATCATAAAATTAAGTCCATGAATTAAGTGACATCAAATAAGAATTGTTGATTTAGCTGATTAATCCTACATTCATCAAATATTTGCTTTGAAAGTTAAGGTAATATGGTAGCAATCAATCATATCCAGAGAAATACTATTTATCTAGATGACTTTAGTAGCTTCTTTTAGTTTTATAATAATTATATGATTTATAAATTTTGTTAAATGATAGTTTTGTTTTGAAAAAAAAAAAACAAACAAACAAACAAATGAAAGATTGACTTCATTAAAATTACTTTTCTCTAATTCATTTTCTATTGATAATAATTTCATACTACTTATATCTACTATATTTGCATGGAAAGGTATGAAATTTTGAGCGCTTCACTGCAAAAAGAAAAAGAGAAGAAAGTAATAACTAAATTGCATTTATTAGATTTCACTTTTGCTGTACGATAGTGGGAAGTGAAGTACATTAGCAGTAATTATCCTGATCTTTCATTTCACAATTTATTTATACCTTGAAATCATAAGTAAGGTCATATTGAGGTGAATAGTGCAAGGATAAGAGTAAACAAATAATTAAGTTGGTTCAATTGTATTAAACCGATAATTTCGAGATGATTTTGGAGAAGGAAAAGAGAAACTTGCAATAATATTTTTGCAAATTTTAGCCAACAAAATGGAATAATTGATGAATTCATTGATTACTGAATTTAAAAGTTAAAAAGTGCGCTTCAGAAAGAATTATTATTATTTATTTTATTTTTTGGAAGTCTTTTAAAATGACAAAATTTCTTAACTAATTTATCCTTCAACTTTCTTGAATATTCAGAAATTATTGTTACCGTCTAGAACTAACAATTGAAGATGAAATAATGAATGTAACATATTGAAATGCATTGATGTGTAAATTTTTAGTTCATCAAAATCGAATAACTAACAGTGTAACAATGCTCACACCTTTTCCTTTCTTCCCAAGCATTCACATAAATTTCGTTAGAATCCTTTTTTTTTTTTTTTTTTTTGTCACTCGCCGAAATTTGCATATTCCCACTGAAATACAAACTTTAGTAATTCCGCTCCATTAAACAAGCACATAGGATAATGCCGCCTCTGATGAAGTAAATATGATCGATCGGATGCTGACAGTTAGAGAGTCACTGAATGGATGGATGTATATGAGATTTCACAAATAGCACACCAAGATGGGAAAGAATTGAATTAGCAAAAGAAAAGCCTGAAATGTACCAACAGGTGGCATCATTTGGCGGGACAATTTTCAACTTATTCACTCATCAAACGTCCATTGATCTTTATTACGAACTGTTTGTCTCTTTGAAGTTAAAATTTCACCTTCAGCAATTTGAAATTTACATGAAATTTCAATCCTGAAACTATCAATGCGAGATGAAATATTCTTTATTG